CATTTCTTTTTCACCTGGTACAAAAAGATTATTATTCTCTATTTCAAGAAAATTCATCTACATTGCCAAATTCTGTCCACATAATATGGATGCCAGTCACAAATACAACTTCAAGGTCTAGTCTATAAACACTTCCTAGGTAGCCAATCTCCTTCATATACTCACAGTATATTGGCACATTGGGATTTATATGCTGAAGACAGAGAGAGGGTCTTCATCCTATTTAACTATCTTTTGAATTTTCTATAATGGACATCACTGCTGGCTTTAGCAGGAAATGATTACATGTGATAAAAGGAGTAGAATGTAACTAAATTAAGCTGAGGAGTTGGTATCATAAGTAAAAGGGGACTAGCATGTACCCTTGGTTTTGAAAACATTTTGGGAGAGATGGGTCAGGTGGTAGAGTACTTCCTGCTCAAACATGATGTCTTAAGTTCAGGTTTGGGACCTTGTAAAATCTAGGTACTAGCAGATGAAGACAAGAGGATCCCTGTCTAGAGAACATAGTGAGCTCCAGGTGTGGTGAGAAACCTGTCTCAAAAAAAAAAAAAATTAAGCTGGAGGCCAGTTGAGGTCAACCTCTGGCCTATAACATGGGTGCATGTACACATCACTTTAACCTTTGTTAAACTCAATGAGACAAAAGAAAAAGGATATCAAAGTAGGAAAGGCCTTGTTGGGAAGATTTTCAGCAAGAAACTGAGAACATAGAGGTAGGAAGACAATTGCAATGGTAGTATAAGAAAAGAGCAAAACTAATTGGTGGAGAAGCAAGTCCCAACATCAAGGTCAACAGAGAAAGCCACTCATAAGGAGATTTACGCCAGAAGGTCCATGAGTGAGTTTGGTATGCCAACTATGAAGAAAATCAGACCAAACAACATGGCCTGTAAACAGAGATGTGGCAGCAAAGATTTCCCTTCCTTTGGTGATAAAGGAGGGAATGTTGCTGGAGTTCCTTGTCCCACCAGGTCCCACCACCCTTCTCAGGCCCAAATAAACGCACCAAGATTTATATTAATTATAAAACTATTAGCTGATAGCTAGGACTTCTTATTGGCCACCTCTGTCTTTAATTATTAAATCATAACTACTAATATATGTATTTCTACATGGCCTTGTCTTACCAGAGAACAACTGGCACATCCTATCCTTCCAGTCTCTACATGGCATCTCTCCAGTCCCTGTCTGCTACCTTTCCCAGAATTCTCCTCGTCTCCTAGTCCCACCTATCTTCCTGCCTCTATTGGTCAGACAGTGTTTTATTCATCAATCAGTAAGAGAAACATATACACAGAAGGACATCCCCCATCAAGGGAGTAATAAAGGCATTAAAAATGTACCCTCTAAAGTCACAGAGAAATCTTGTCTCAAAAAACAAAACAAAGCAAAACAAAACCAAACAAAAATGAAAATGTACAAATCCAGATAATGTTAACCCTCACCCCCAACAAATAACTACCCACCCTACTAATTTTTTCAGGCTTCTATGCTTGCCTTACAAACAATTCCTTGACATTCTTTTATCTCTCCTTAACCTAGAGATTATGGCAATAGCACAAATTACAAAATGACTGTCATTGAAGACACTATTTGACTGACAGTGGTCAGTGGAAAAGGTATATATCACATTATAAGGAGAGACACAGGAATCACCGAGAATGCTACAAGGTAGGAGGACTTGGCTGTGGGACTAAAGCTTTGCTGACAGCTTCCTTAGAAAGAAATTCCTGAGACAGGGAAAAAGGCCTCTGGACTGGCTATTTTGAACAAATTCAGCAAGCAATTGGCACTGGTGCTATCCCTGGTTGTCTGACAGCTGTCTATGGGACAGCTGTGGTAAGGCAATATAGTATTTGCATGACCTATCAGACAGAAAATAAATGATGGGTGAATTAATGTGATTTGGTATAAACTTGCTATGATTTTAAAGAACAGTAACAGCCTTAGCCAGGAGCTGACAAATCTAACTACTGCTTATAACCTTTATTTTGTGTTAACCAGTACTGTACACTTATTTAGTATTAAATCTTTTAGTATTTGTTTATTCATGAAACAGAGACAGTAGTCACCCGGATCAGACAAATTTCTTAGCTGGCTTCCAAAAGCAGATCACTACCCCTGTGACCTCCCCATATACATTTTACCTACCACTCCAAAGTGACCAGCCATCTTTGTTTTACATATTTGTTGGAATGTATAAGTTTTCTGCACATCTGCAAGACTCCAGCATGATTTGGCTATCATCTTTTTCTTTTTCTAAACTTTCTTTTTTAAACTGAGGCAGTGTATTGTCCTCGTGGGATGCTAATGTACCTTTGTGAACATGTGTCAAATCTTGGATTGACTCTTTCTTCCCAGTTTCTTCCTGGCAGAGACAATGAGCACTGTGAGCATATTAATAAATGTTACATAATAACAACTATTAAATGTTCCTTTGAAATATCAAGCAGCTTTTTATCTTTAGCTCCTACTTTGAGATAATTATACATTTCCCTAAAGCTATTTATAGCTCCAATCAGGAAGAACAGCTGAAAAGAAATGTGTAGAGTCCTGCCAAATCTGTGGTGAAAGTGACTTCAAATCCACAGTGCTATTGGAAGCATTTAAAATGGTATTTGACATATGGAAGTCGAACACTATCAATAGAAATCTTTCCCAGCCATATTTCCATGACAGAGGAAGCCACAGTACACATCTTGTCCATATCACCATCATCATTCATTTACAAAGACACTGAGACCACACAGAACAGAGGCAGCACAGTTGTCACGCTGGCACACTCAGTCCCTGGCATACACTGTCCTTGGAATGAGCATACTTCAATGATGCTATTAATCATCTTCCTTTGAAAAACAGGGGTCCTGAACATTTACTCAAGACCAAGTCAAAGTCTCAGACTACCCTTAAAGGAATGGGGACAGAGAGATTCCTCCATGACATGAATTGGAGATCACAGGGTAAAACCCACGTTTCTTCAGGTCACCAGGCCTAGCAAATAAAAAGTTAGCAACCATCTCCATTGGGTGCACTCATTTTCCACCTTACTTGATAACCAAAATTACTTTCTCCTCCAGCTAAGGAAGCAAGTTAGTAGAATGGGTGTGTCATTGGACTTTAAAGGCTTAATACCTGGGCCCTGACTCAGCTCTCACTGCTTAGAGCCTATGATTTTTGTCAAGAGTCTGTTACAGTCAGAAGGTTCATTTCTAGACTTTGGAGGATGCTACTGGTGTTAAGAACTATGATAGAAGTCAGAGAAACAGTGAACAAGCACAGGGCCCCTGCCCCCAGAATGGTTTTCTCCAGGAAATTGTGATCCCAAAGGGAAGGGAGAGAAATGGCTGAGGGCATGTTTATTGCCTTCATTATACCTCTGAGACAGTACACCCCTGTCCTTCATTCTTCTACCTCCATTTGGTTTTACTGTTTTCATGAGAAGCCATTTGCCTCAAGAAAGATCACAGAGGACCTATTTATTGCTCAGCAATTGTAGTCTTCACACAGAGTAACCTAAAATATTGTGGCTTCTTACAATCTAAGATAATCATAGCTTTTGAGACTATACTTTAGGTGAAGTTGCACAAGAAAAATCTGTTTCTCGCTGTCATGGAAAAAAAGTGTTTTCTGCATCATTCACAGATGCAATTCTAATAAGCACGGTCAAGAAAGATGTCACAGCAGAAAGAAATGCCTGGCAACAGGCAAGTCCCCAAGAAGTCTCCAGTTCAGGGAGCAAAGGTGATAGCTATGAATTCCCAGAACAGGTGAAGGGTGGAGTCTCAGCTTTGGTCTCTTAGGTAGCCCAGACTGAGATCGTATCATTGATCCAACCACTGTGAAGCAGCAATTCCTAACTTTACCACAGCAGCCTACTTGGTTCTCTATAACCGGATCCTTTTTCATGAACATACAAAAACGTAAATAACTTAAAATTCCATTTCTCTCCTCCATACCAACAAAAATGACTCTGTTAAAGGTAGGGAAATAGGTAGGCTGTAAAGCGTTTCCCTTGCAAGAATGACAACCCAAATTTCATGATAAAACAACAAGCGCAAAAAGAAAAAGCCAAGCTAATGGCATGTTCATGTCTTCCTAGCAATGATAGGAGGGGCAGTTAAATCCCTGGCCTGAGTCAATTGAAACCCTTAAAGGCAGGAGCTAAGGCTTTTCCAAGGAAGAAGAAATTCCAGCCATGGACACCTCCCTTTTGAACCAGTATGTCCTTCCAGTTCTGCCCTTTGGCTCTGCATGGTCAGCCCTACAATTGTGTTAACTAATTCTTTTCAGAAAATGTCTACATCTCCTACTAGAGTTCTCTTTCTCGATAGATCTGATCCCACACAGTCATGGAACTTGTTTTCATTCCACAGCAAAGCCAATCACTTATATTTTGATGCTTTGAGGTAAAAGCTGCTGGATTCTTTGTTTTCACAGATGCCAGTGGGTTTAAATACAGCGTGTAACTCTGTTTTGCTAGATTTTCTCTTACCTTTTTGTTTCAGAAGAAAACAATGACTACATACCTTCCTTCGTAAAATTAAAGAAGAAATACATTCAGCTGTACATGAAAGAGAGGAAATCAGGTCCTCATGCCTAATGGGCAGGGCACAAAGCTGCAACTCTGATATTGAGATAAATAGTCCCTGTGTTTATCTGAAATTGGAGTTGCAGCAAGAATCATCCTACCCACATAGCAGCATCCCCTGCTTCACAAATGTTCATCACTTCAAACGACTCAGCAGTGCATTTTCATAACTCTCCAGAACAGAATCTCCTCACTGTCTCCTAACATTCGTCATCTTCTGTCAGGTTTCATACCAGCCAGAACTACACTGAGAACTTCTAAAATGAGAATACAGTTGCACAAACAGACTGGGCAGCTAGCTAACTTAAAGTCAAGAATCCAAAAGGAACAGAATTTGAAATGAGACTCAGTTTTACATTATTCATAGCCAAGTTTTTCTAGGATGAACTTTTTAAATAAAAAAATCCACTTTAGAAATATTAAACATTTATTCATTTTCTTATTGGTAGCTCTTTTCTTGGTTGTAATAAGAATATTAACTAGTAAACATACTTTTGAGATTTAAATGTTACAACCCCAAATTAAAAGTCTTTCATTCATTAAAACCTGGGTACCACTTTAAAATAAATTAATTTTAATTACAAATAACAAGTACCTATAGATAGCTAAGAAATGTATTAACTTTTACTTACAATAACAAACATGTGCTTTGACATTTTTATTCATTATTATAAAAATTGAGTTTTTAATGGAAGCAGTTCATCAAAATTATGCTTATGGAAATAAATTTGAATCTTGTTGTACTTTAAACTCAAATATAAATCATGACAGGATAAAATAGCAAGCATGTGGAAATATTTGTGATATATACATACAATTTTCATGTAAACAAAGTAAGATCAGAGAAATCAAATATCTTTGTCTCCAACAAAAGTATGAAGATTAAAAGGCTATTTTATTTTACTTCATGCTTCAATTGAACAACTGGTCTAAGCAGAGAACTAGAAATTAGATAAGTCTTTACATTCCCCTCACTCTCTTCAGGAAATTACACATAATGAAGAGATGTCCTATAGAGACATCTGCAGGAAAGAAATACTATACTAATTAGCTTTCTGGAAGTCATGACTTACAATTAGTGAGTCATTCTTTGACCCCTATTGTGAAACCACATGGTTCATAAGATTTTGCCAGTGAAAAGAAAGTTGCTGATGGCCAAATCCATACCAGCACAGGTGGCCACCAGACAGGCACGAACCATGTAGAACATATTTCACTGTGGATCACCATTGGTTTCCAACACACAACTGCTTTAAGATAAAAGAGACAGTGTTTAAATGATATACTTATTTTCTATAGGAGTGTTTCTTGGAACTGTGCCCCAATCACCATCTGAACCAGAATCAGGCAAAACACTCAATAAAAATAAGCATTCTTGTGCCCAACCACTGACCCAAAGGCCTAGGAATTTGTGTTGACCTTCCCTGGGGATATTCAAATGCTTATTGAAGTTTCAATGTCACTACTGCCAACTATTTGAAATTTCTCTTTACTGTTTTTTTCTGACCAAAAAAAATTTTTCTTATCTCGTTCATGCATCGTATTAGCTAGGAGGAAAAATAAATAATTTCTGATTATGTCAGTCAGCAGTGGTCAATAGTGGTATTTCCCCATCAAGAAAACATGGAATAATAGGCAACATGAAATTTTGTGCCTACATTCCTTGAGGGTGCACCATAATATTTTTTTCCTGAAGCTTTCGAAAGGTACATATAATAAAAATATTAAAGTGATCTGTAAACTGTCATCTGAACAGATTAGCCAGAGTAAAGAGAGCTGCTGTTCAACGTCTCCTTTCCCACAGCTTCCCATATTGGCTCAGCAGTCTCTCCAGTGTGCTCGCCAAGTGTAGCTGCCTCTAACCAGAAAAGAGTACCTTCAACTGCTCCAGAAGACAGCATCTGAAACTCAGTTCAACTACAGTCACAAAGGGAGTCTCAACAGTTACCAGTATGCATCAATACACAGTGCTGTCTTTCTTGAAAGTTGGACTTTCAGCATCTGTGATAACGTCTACTTCTGATCCAGTTTATATTGACAACGGAAAGCAAAATGCATTTCAACCTGCTGCTAATATCTACTACACTGTTTAAGTCCTGTACGATCCCAACGGACAAAGACATATTTACCTGTGGTAAACATAAGTTAGAAATTAAAGAGGTAGGTAGGTGGCTATCATAAGCAATGATCTCAACATAATGTTGTGAATAGTGTCCCCTAGCCCCTAAAGCTGATTAAACAGTCAGGGGATTTCCAACATGATTGCAATTGGTGCTGTCAACAAATTTCCAACATCTGATTCCTGATGACCATGTCAGAGCCCTTCAGACACCACTTTAAGACAGAGCTAACAAAGCAAAGATAAAGTAATACTGGAGACCAGGTAATAGCAGTGAAGTAGACTGGACTCTTCCAACTATACTCACGTATGGAAAACAAAACAGACAAACAAAAAACCCTCAGGGTTAGGTAAGACTTCAGCAATCCTGCAATCCAGCTTCTTGGGTTTTTCTAATGGAGAAGCACACACTTGTTTTTCCCAATGACTCACAAAGCACTCAAGTTCAGAAAAGGTGTTACCCATTCCAGTTAAAGGATAACTTTGACCTCTGCCTTAGCCCAGAGTGCAGTCAGAGGCCACCCTTTCAACTCTTTGGGCTTGAGGCTGTAGCTTCACCCCTGCTGACTATTTTATAAGATCTACCACCGGTAATAGAGTGAAGCTGACCAAGGCTCTGCATGCACCAGGACAGGCAGATAACTTAAGGAAAAGAATGAAAACTCCAAAGCCTGACCTCTGAAAGCTAATCTCAGTTCAGACCAGGTTTATCTCCCTTCCCTTGGGAAGGCACACCTCTGAACTTCGCAAACTTCAGGTCTTCGAAGGCCAGAACTGAAAGGCAAAAGGTCCCACTCCTGATCACATTAGAGCACAGATAGATAGATGGTTGGAAGCCTCCAAAGTGGCCAGGTCAAGACCTAGGCCAGCAGTGCTGGGCACTCATTAACTGCCAGTCACTTGTTTTATAAATTGAAAATTCATTCGATTTTCATATTTTTATATATATCGTCAGGCCCACACACTTGAAGGGTGGGTCTAAGTCATTTGTTCCCTTCATAAACTCCAAGTCTTTCTCAGAAACATAGCAACTTCAAGGTCTGTTTGGTGTCCATGCAGCCCTGTCTCAAAAAATAGAAGAGGAGAGGAGAGGAGAGGAGAGGAGAGGAGAGGAGAGGAGAGGAGACGAGACGAGACGGGACGAGATGAGACAGAGACAGAGAGGAGAGAAAGAAAATAAAAAGAATATGTGTCGTCCCCCTTGACTATGACAGGTTCAAACAGACTAAGGAGTCTGTGTGACACAATGGAACAGCTGCATCTGTAGCTCAGATGTCTGGAGCCCCGCAACCATATCAAAACCTCTGGGCAGGATTTTTGTCCCTCGGAAACTTGGATTTCTTTACTCTTAAAAAGGAACCAAATGATACCCACAGAAGACTGCCCAACGCCTTGCACACAGCACCACCTCAGAGTGGTGGCCCCTTTTCTCTAAACTTGGTGAGAATGCTTCAGTCAGCAAGATGGCCACAAGCTGGACCAGTCAACCTCTCATCTGCTCCTCCCTGAAATTCACCATAGCACTGTGCCTCCGCAATGGTCCCCTGGCACTCTGAAAACTCATGATTGTGCTTGGGGAAAAATCCCTATGTGTTTATATTCCTTTGAAAATTGTACATGCAGCCAAAACATTTTAATAAAAAACTATCTACCTAGAAATTATAAGCACATGTCTTCCAAAGCACAATATGTCGTTTATAAAAACAATTCTAAGAACACAGCTGAATTAATCTGTACATTGTCTTTTAAAGTGCACCAAAGTAAATTGTAATAACCTTTAAAATGTCACCAACCTCCTTGGGTTTTGTTTTTAAAATAAAAGTAAGTATCTACCAACTGAGATGCAGAGGGATTTGGTTCCAATATGATGGCAAGGAGCAGCAGTGTCTTGTAGGAAAGGAAAAGGAACAATTAACTCAACCCAGCTTGCCTCAGCAGCATAAAAACACCTGCAATTCAAGTTAACTGCAGGTGCCATGAATCCTGATTCATGCTAAAAAGTGAAACCATTCAACTCAACAAACACATTCCCCCAAAGTTTTCTTAATCTAGAGGTAACATATGTGACCACTTTCTTACAGTGTTTCCTTAGTTTCAGGATCAAAGTACTTACCACTCTTTCTTTGAAACACACACACACACACACACACACACTATAAAAACCAATAAAAGTTTAGAAGCCATATAAAAAATTTTCATACAATAAAGAACCATAATGTCTCCAAATATCTTAGAGTTCCAGTATTCACAAAACCGTCCGATGCTCCCCACACACATAGACAGCACTAGGGCGTATCCTTCGCCTTGTGTGACCAGGGAGACGTGGCAAGAACTTGAAGGACTTGGGCATCATATCCAAGCAGGCATCATGAAACTTCTTAATCCTCCAGTAGTATATCAGTGGGTTCAATGCAGACTTGAGGTAGCAGAGCCAGAGTAGCCAGGTGCTAATCTCAAAGAAGTTGTGCTGATAGTAAAAGCGCTTGCTGAAGGTTGCCACGAGGCTGTACGTGGTGAATGGCGCCCAGCAGACGATGAAGACAGCAAAGAGGATCAAGATGGTGGTGAAGGCACGTGTTTTAAAGCCCATGTCGATGCTCATTTGGAAGGGTCTCTGTAGACTCATGAGACCCAGTTTGCTGGCCTGGCTGAGGCATATTCCTTCTGGGTAGCTATGAATCCTCAAGGCATTGTGCCGAAGGGTGTTGAGGATGCCCATGAATGAATACAGTATCACCAGGAAAGGTATAAAGAAAGAAATGAGTGAAATCAAAATCACATAAGCCTGGTATCCAGAATTAGTTGTGTACCCAAACACACACTGTGGGGCTCGGGAAGGGATTTGCAAATCAGGATTTCCCACAGCCAAAGGAAACGCTATGGAAAAAGCAGTTGCCCAGGAGACTGCAATAAGGACCTTAGCCCTGTATGGATTTAGCTTATCTTGCCTCTGAACTATAATCAGGAACCTATCAATGCTAATAATGAGCAGGATAGCGACTCCCTCTATCACAAACAACCAGAAGAACATAGCAGACAACCTGCAGAAGAATTTCCCAAATATCCATCTGGTGGTAAGAATAGTTACCAGGGCAAAGGGCATGTTCAGCACAGCAAGCAGCATGTCAGCAAAAGCCAGGCTGGCGAGAAGAATGTTGATCGCAGACCGCATGGCAGCTTTCTGGTATACCATGAGGCACACAACCAAGTTTCCAAGAAAAGACACAAACAGAATAAATATCATTAGAGCTGAAAGGATGATCTGGAGGGCTAAATTTAGGCTCTTAAAAACTGCTGGTGTTAGGGTCGTGGCTGTGCTGTTCACTGCTAAGGAACTAAATCCAGTGCTAGTCATGGTTTCCAGACTGTATCTAAGAAGCGGACCAGGGCTTGGATGCTGAAATGGTGGGGGCGCTGTAATATTCGCATGGGAGTTTTCATAGACTACAAATGTTGTGTTGGATGTCCCAGTATGGGATGCAGTCAACGCTGCTGAGACAACCATGGTTTTAGGAGGATAGGAGGCTCAGGCAGAAGCGTGGGTCCTCTTCAGGCATTTCAACACAGCACTGTAGGGTCAGGTTCCACTGATGGGCTCGGATACACATTCTGGAAAACAGACATAGTACCATCTTCCACAAGAATCCTTTTGCCTGAAAATAAGCCGAAAACAGAACATGAGATCAGATTAGTAGATACATTTTATGCTGCCGTGTCACAACATCCATTTACCAGCAAGGACTACACATCTCTGCTTAGCTTCTGAGGTCAGACGAGGCTAAGTGTGTTCAGAAGAGTATGGCTGTAAACACACTTGACTTTTTAACACACTTGTCTTTCATCATATAGGATCACTCTTTTCCCTTATAAACCTCTAAAACTGTGTTCTCTGACCTAGCCAACTCTAAAATGTCACTGTTGTATTGTTTTAACTAAATATAATGGAAATTTTATATTTGTTCATAAAGCAAGACAGATCTTGAAATACATCAATGAACCAAGAACAGAAGTCAAAACCTGTGGTTGATGCTTTTGCAAAGATTGCAGTAGCCCTCTCTCTCTAAGGCTCAGACCATTGAGGAGGGGAAGAAAGATTGTAAGAGTCAGTGGTTAGGGAGGATCTGAGTAAAACAGTCCTTTTGGACTTGGCAGGTCCATTGTACTTACGAACTCACAGTGGCTATGGATGCCTGCACAAGACCTGTACGAGATAAAGCCAGTCAACATTCTAGCAAGGAGTGGGAGTGGGTTCATGAGATTCCTAACTGAGGAGCGATGACTAATTGATGATAGTTTTATTGGAGGAAAAACAGTTTTCTTTAAGGGTTTAGTTCCAAGCTCTACTGGATGGCCCTACATCCAGCAGAAATGGACAGCACAAATTGGACTCAGTGGATTACTACATCAAATAAAGTAGACACGGGGCTGGGGGTATAGGGAAGGAGTCGTGAATCACAGAGGATTGAGGGGATTTCATATCAATATAATCAAAATACACTGTATGAAAATCTCCAAGAGTTAATATTTAAAAAATAAACTTCAAAAATTTTCAGTAGCATCATAGCTTTCCACAGTCACTATTAATAAACATTTCACTAATTCTCTTAGGAGAACAAATTTCTACCGTTCTTTCCTATGGGCTCTCATTCCGCCTTTACATTAGCACAAAGCTCAATGGCAAAAATAACTTAACCTCAATGCCTGCTTAACATGTAGTAATAACACACTTTAGGTTTGACAGCCCGTAAAAAGTAAGAATGGGGTTATTTTCAATTACGATCTGAAATTGGTCTTGGCTTTTCTTCTTCCCTTTCTCCCTTCTGCCTCTTTATTGTCCCCCTCTTCCTCCTCCCATTTCTCTCCCTATCTTCTCCTTTTTCTTTCTCACATCCATCCCCTTCTCCAGAAATTCCCCACCAAACACACTAGACAAAAGACATTCAGATAAAAGCGTTATTTTTCCTAAGCTCTTTCTTACAATCTCTCTTTTCCTCTAAGTCTTTTTTGTATTTTACTTTTATTGGTTCTTTGTGGATTTCACATCATGCATTCTGAGTCCACTTATCTCTGTTACCTCTGCCCTTGCAACTTCCCCACCAAAAAAAAAAACAAAACAAAATTAAAAAAAACTAAACAAAGCAAAACGGAACAAAAAACTAAAGTAAAAAATAGAAGAAGAATCTCAACATAGGAGCTGCAGTGTGTCCTGTTGAGTCACACAGTTTACCCATTCATCTTTACTTGCAAGTGTTCATTGCCTTGAGTCCTTGGTCCGGCTTGAGGCCTCTGGTTTCTGCTACACCACCTGTAATGGGCTCTCACTGGGGCTTCCCTTGTCTATGCTGTTGTTGTCCTTTGTCATGGAGATCCTGCTGTTTTGGATCTGTTAGATTAATCTCCTTCACATGTTCCAATAGTTCATAGATTTAGTGGATGGTGGGGTGGGCCAACTCAAAACCCTTGTTCTGGGCCTGGTTGGTAGCTGGGTTGGTCAATTCGCTAGATTTCCCTCATCACCACTACCAGGATAAGTTCTCTGGTACTGCCTTGGCTAGCTCACCCAATGCAGCCCACCACAAGGAAAGAGGCCAGTTCTCCTGCTCTCAGGCCCCCCGGATCCAGGTGCCCCCCTTATTGCCAGGGTCAGCTCTACTCTTTTGCCCAGGCAAGGTGAAGGGCCCTCTCTTCCTGTTGCTGTAGGGGGCATAGAAGAGTGTCAGATAGGCTCTCCTGCTCTCAGGATTGGCTCACCTGAGACCCCAGCTATAGGGTCAATTCTTTCACCTGCCATAGGTAGTAAGGGGCGGAGGGAGGACAGCATCGTTCCCTCATCCATGTCACCACATGACAGACTGGGGGAGAGGGGTCAATTCTGTTACTCCCATGCCTAAGTAAATGCAATGCAAAATTTTAAATTCTATTTCAAAAAACACCTATCAAATCTTCATTAGTAAGTTTGAAATACTTAATGTCCTTTAGGCTGAAAGTATAGCGCTAGAGCCCTCAGCTATTACGCAAGGGGCCCTAGTTTCTACTCCCTGAACAACAAAATTAACTGATTTCAAATAATTAAATTAGATTTAGGGTTTTTTCCGGTCATGATAAAGAACAATTAAAAATAGAAACAAGAGCAGAATATTAACCCATGATTTTTTATTTTTTATAATTCTACATACAGCCAACATGCTCTTTTGTTATACAAGCTTCCCATTACTACCAAAACTTCTACCTCAATTTCACTCAATTACTACTCAGCCTTCAGATATTTACTGAGGGCATGCTATGTTCCAGTCACTAAAAGGAAAATGATTAACAAATGGTCTTGGATTTTGGATTAAGGAGAAAAGACTGACCAAGGAAGGACACTGCATCTTGAAATTCACTTTGAATGGATTTTTCTTAATATACATACATATAAACTAAAAAGAATCAGATGTATAAATTTAAAGTTAATTAGTAAAGATTTTTTAAAATCTTTTTTAGGCAACAAACCAACCAACCAGATGCTGCTGTGGTAACTGGCCTAGCAAAACAGAAGAGAGAGCCTTCATCTCCAGAACTTCCAGAAAAACATTGTTTTGAGGAAAACAATTGATTAGCAGTGACCACAGAAATCTCAGGTGAGGATGAAAACACAAAAATGACTGAAAACTAGGACCCTGGAGACCCTGCCAGGCCTCTCCTCTCACTGTGAAATCAGAGAAGCAAACACACAATCTCCCTTCAAGAAACTCAAGGCTGTGGTAAAATGTCGGGCTGTAAATGGCGTCAAATGAGAACGCCAACACTTTACAGGAATGCTAGCTTTTTCTCAACAACTTCGCTGACTGCTGGGATCTAGACCAGGCTCCTGATGCAGGCGGGCAGCCCCAGATAGGGGCAACTGACTCTCACAGTCACCAATCCAGTTCTTAGAGTGAGAACTCACTTCTACATGCAGCACTGACCCATTCCTGGCATAGACCCCAGAGTACTAAAAGTCTTTCAGAAAATCCACCGTGCTATACTGGGGACCGACCCTCAACATGAATTTCTATAGGGACAAACATCAGTACCACCATACCATCACCCAGAAACTAATTATACAGAGCAAAGGAAGAATAAGCATTCAAAGGGAAATCCATGGTCTTTTAAAAGCAATTAATGTAGTATAATTTTCGCAAGATACATACAAAAAGAAAATCCAGTGGCTTGGTCTTTTGCCTCTCATCTCCTCCTTCCTTGCCAGTTTCTCCAACTGCTATCTAAACACAGATAAGTAACAAACGAGTTTCGATGGCCCAAACCAAACTCCTGAGGTCTAGCCTTACATGTATGTGTGTGTGTGTCTATGTAGGGCATGAAGGCATGAGTGCAGGGCCCACAGAGGCCAGAAGAGGGCGTGAGATTCCCCAGGACCTGGAGTTAACAAGCAGTTGTGAGCGACCCAACCATCCTACAGGGACCCTAGGAAAAGAGCTGGGATCCTCTGCAAGTGTGTGGTCTTAACCACTGAGCCATCTTTCCACATCTGCACACTATTATTACATTCTGATGGAAATCTTTCTCCTCTGGCCTCTGCTTACCCAAACTTGACGTCGGTTCATCTATCACCTCTTCACAGTCGGCACTTCTGAGTGACAGGATTTAGTGAGTGAACAGCCATTGTGTCAGTTTGACATAAACCTACCCACATCTCAGAAAACACGACCTCAAATGAGGAACTGCCCCCATAAGACAGCCCTGTGGATGTCTGTGGGGCACTTTCTTCATGTGGGAGGAGCTAGCCCACTGTGGGCAATGCCACCTCCAGGAGGTCCTTCTGGATAGTTTGTGAGCCTAGCCCTGAACGGCTGAGCTATCTCCCCAGCCCCATCCTGAATAGTTTAAGCAAGCAAGAATTGATTCTTAACAAGTTCACAGACAGACATAACAAATTCATTTTAAGCCAATTGCTGAATCTTTTTTTATTTAAATTAAAAACAATCTTATTTTACATACTAATCTCCTGTCTCGTTCCCTCTGGTCCTCCTATCCCCCCCCCCCACCAATTGTTGAATCTTTTTGTTCCAACTTAAACATATATTTTTCAGGTTTCAAAATGGTGTCTGAATGTTGGAATCTCAACTACACACCAAAGTAAGAATCCCCAGTGATGCAGTTATGAGAAACAATGCAAGGATCCTGTGTGCACTGCTTCCATGGGATCCTGTAACACTAAGACAGTTTTACGACCAGGATGTTAACAGTGATACAGCTCAGAAACACAATTCCCTCAATGACAGAGTCACTCCTGGTAGCCTTTTATGGATACATACCCATGAGTCCTACTCTTCTACCACACTTGGGATGAGACAAACATTAATTAGTCTACCCTCTTAGCCATAGTCATTCTAAGAGTGTGATTCTATTGAAGGACTAAGAGCTAGACAGATTCCTGACAAGCAGACAGACAGACAGGAAGGGGAGCCATGGATAGATAATAATGATGGAAAACTTCTCGTTTCTTCCTCACCTTCTTGACAAGACAAAACCAGCTTAACACAAAGTCCTGGTAGGCTTTTTCTCCCACCTATAGGAGAGAAAGCAAAAGACCTGAAAGAGAAATGGGAGCTAGACAATGTTACTTCTCTGTAGACAATGTTACTTCTCTGTAGACAATGTTACTTCTCTC